GGCTGTGTTATTCAACATTCACATCAGTTCAAATGAGCTTTCTCAGTAAAAATCATTTAATTTAAACTCCTTTTTAACATTTAAATATCTTCTTCCACAAACTCCATAGGAAACAAATTTCAAATATACCAAATGATAACTGGATAAGGAATCCTTTTATTCAGGCCAAACTTATCCTCACTTCACTTCCACGGAATCCTTTTATTCTTTAGATACAAATTTCATGGAATGTGTCAACTGCTAAAGAATACAAGGACAACTTATCTAGTTAACAGTTGGTGAGTTTGAAATTGGAAATGCACAGAAATAGAGTGGCTAACATTACCTATTTCATGACATTTGTATTATTTTTATAACTTGTTAGTTAACAAAGTTTTAAAAAATTATTTTAAAATTTTCCTTACATTAAACAGGGGTGCACAACCTGCGGCCCGCGGGCCACATACGGCCCCCTATCAATGTTTATGCGGCCCGCGGAAAGTACAGGCCAAATCCCTTCTTTCGAAGTTTCTAAGTGTAGAACTTTTTCCCTTTCACAAAGTCATTAGCACCCAACTGTTTTGACTTCCCTGAGGTGAGAAATGGGGATTGTTNAGAAATAACAGAACTTTTGAAAAATTACATTTATTGTAAATTGAATTAATTATTTTGATGTTACTTGATGATTATTTGAAATATTAATGCATATATAAACCAATTAAAATTCTTTTGAAATTTCACATAAATTGATAGTAATAAATATTTACTGCTGTATGTATGAAATAAATTCAGTTGAATATTTATAACTTAAACAAAATTGTGTTTTAATTTTTAATGAAGATAAATATAATTGATAAGGGACAAATTTTGAAAAAAATATTAGTTTTATGGAGGACTTATTACACACTATTGACAGAGTAATCACACAGTAATCACAAGTGGGTAAACACAGGTTTATTATGACGATGGTATGTATTTCGGACAGGTTGTCTGTCCCTGTTCAGCCGTATTTCTTAAAATTTCATAGGTTTACAGGTCTCTACAAAATACAAGCAGTTTTTCATTACAAACAATTGGGTTTATGATTAAAATAGTTCAAAATTACATTTTTTTACATACTTAAAAGGTACTGTACATTCTATTTTGTTGCTGATGTGTGGATGATTTCATTTTCAGGATTTTCACAATGTTATATTCTGTTTTCTGTATCAATAGCAACCAGAGATTAAAATTGTTGCTTAATAAAATTAATTGTGAAGTAAATATTATGCGTAATTGGCAACGCATCTACACAGTAAGCAGGTTCGAGTCCCACTTTGGGCTGGTAAATACTATGGTAACAAACATAATGCAAAGTTATAAACAAGATTACAGTTATAAAGTAAGAGCTGTTTTAAGAAAGGTTACATACATTTTTGCAGTCAATCAGCTTGTACAAACAATGATCTCTGCTACAGAAGCAATGCTACTATAGGGTGGTATCCAGTTTTGGTGATATAATTAATGAAAATATTGTAAAGAATCCAGGAATTTTAGGCTTTTACTTTTACGTGGACAATTGCTTACTCATTTATGACAGCACCAAAATTGAAATCAATCAATTTTTGAAATATATCAATAACCTGGAGAAAATATAAAATTTGAATTAGAACTCAAAAAGAAAGCCACCAATTACCCTTCTTGGACATTTCAATCATTAGACTAAACAATAGAATTAAAATTAATAGATTTATTAAATAATGAAATGTTAAAAAGTTATATGTTACAACTCAGAGATCCCTTTATACATAAAGAAAAACATAATCAACTTGTTTATCAATAAAATTAAAAATAGAACTATAGATATCATAGATCAAACTTCCAAAATAAATGAAATTATCAAACTATTTTTGTTAAATAATTATCCGAAACCACCTTATTAAAATAGCTAGATAGATTAGATAATAGAACACCAAACATAATTCAAAACATTAGTTTGCCAGCAAAATCCTGTAATGTTCCATATGTCAAAAACGTTTTCAAAAATATCCAAAATAAAAAGAATTTAATATATGTATTGTACCAGCCTACACAAACACAATCCAAAAAAGATTAAGTGACAATAATACTATTATCAACATTTTGGAGAAATGTTGGTTTATAAGTTTTCCTGTAGTTGTAACCACACTTATGTTGGTAAAACAAAAAGAAAATTAAAAATACACTTTAAAGAATACATTAATGCTATAAAGTACAATTTTGAAAACTCTGCTGTTACTAAACACTGTGTATTCCATAATTGCAATATTAATAAAGATTTGTTAAAAATACTAAAATCTGAAAGAAATACTACCAAATGCAAATTATACAAACATTTAGAAATGATCAAAATCCATGATAACATAAGAATAAACGATAACACTGGTACAACTAGATATCATCTGGCACCATAAACATCTGAAACCTACCTATTAAACAGCAAGTAATACTTATATCATCAAAACCTGATACCACCCTATAGTGGCATTGCTTCTGTAGTAGAGATCATTGTTTTTACAAGCTGACTGACTGCAAAAATGTACATAACCTTTCTTAAAACAACTCTTACTTCGTAACTGTAATCTTGTTTATAACTTTGTATTATGTTTGTTACCATAGTATTTACTTCACAATTAATTTTATTAAGCAACAATTTTAATCTCTGGTTGCTATTGATACATAAAACAGAATATAACATTGTAAAAAATCCTGAAAATGAAATTATCCACACATCAGCAACAAAATAGAATGTACCTTTTAAGTATATATAAAAATGTAATTTTGAACTATTTTAATTATAAACCCAAATGTTTGTAATGAAAAACTGCTTGTATTTTTGTAGAGGCCTGTAAACCTATGAAATTTTAAGAAATATGGCTGAAGAGGGACAGACAACCTGTCTGAAATGCATACCATTGTCATAAATCTGTGTAGCCAATTCTATGTGATTACTCTGACAACATCAATAGTGTGTATTTTTATAAATTTTGAGAATTATATACATTGCTAGTAAATTATTTATGTAGTATTGAAAACAGTTTATGCATAACTTTGTTAAACTGTTTTCAATGTATAACATGCATAACATAGTACTGTACAAATTTTCAATATTAAAGTTTTATTTTAAATGTTTCTAATAGATATATAAAGAGATTGATTAAATCCTACTGCTTTTAGTTTTGTTGTCTGAAGATGAACATAAGAGGATGCAAAACTTTATTTAATATAATATAAATTAAACTTTTTATGTGGTCATCATTATTTTATTCGTTACATGAAATTTTTATCTTTTATATCAAACATTTTTAGGTACTCTGTTTTTTTTTTTTTTTTTTAAATTATTACTTTTAATAAAGAAATTATATAGTTTTAGCATCACTACAAAATAAAAATATATAGTATATTCTTCACAAGTCATGAAAATGAGTGAAACTAGATATTGTGTTATAATTTAAGAGACCAAAGTTCTAAGTTCAGGAAATTTTTATTTAATATTTTTGGCCAGTCTGTGTACATTCTCAATCATAAAGAATGGTATATTTTTCTGAAACAATACAATTTGAATTACTTAGTGTAAATGTTTTAAATTTGTATTATTTGCAAGCTGAGGATGCCATCGAATGTCCAAAAAGATTACTGGATAAAAAATATTTTGGTCATCTACTTCATGCAACCTTATTTTGGTTTTCTGAACTTAGAAGTTTTATTTTTTAAATTCGTAAGAAAAATCTTATATGTTTATTACTATTATTGAAAGTTAATTTACTATTAAAACATTATAATTATCTTTATATAGAATTTTTTTATCCCTGAAAATACTGGATATAGAGTAGGTGAGAAATTACCATATTCTCAGCCATTATACAGTATATTCAAAATCAATTTTGAATTTTCATAGCACACAGCACTATGAATAGTGAATCACTGGATCCACTTGATACAAACTAAAACTTGAGGTTAAAATAAAATGACTTCTCACCCACTCTATACTAAAACTGTTTTTATAGTGATATGTTATATTTTTTATTTACATAAAAATAATTTAAAATTGTTACATCATTTTTGTATAAATTTGTTATATTTTTTATAAATATTTTCATTTAAACAATTATTTTAAAATTTAACTAGCAAGTTCATTTTTAGAAATTCCTTAACTAACTTGGAAATATGAAATAACAGTCTGTCAGAATCATAATTTTCTTAGGATTTAAATTTTACTATTTGTCAATTCTGCTTCAATTCTGAATTCATAAATTAACATATATTTTCTTTATTTAATTGATTTTATTTGATAGTTATTCAATTAGAAAATATATTTTAAAAACTTTTGAATAGTTTAAAATTAGAAATTGTGCAATCTTACCTTCTTCATTTTAATAAGAAATTAGTGAATACAATTTGAATGAATATATTCTTGTTAAAAATTGAATATATTTTTTAAAAAATAGTAAGAAAATTACATCATCTTAAGACATTAATTTTTATACCAATTAAATGGTCTCTTATAGGTTTTGAATACAAAAATATACTTTATTTTAATAGAAACATAAAATATGCTTTTTTGTGTAAAATTTATATTCCTTTTGGAAGTTGTTTTTTGTTATACCAAATTCAAATAACTGCATATGAATTTGAATGATTAAAAACATTTATTTTATAATTGATAAGTTTTAGGTTGCAACTTTACTTTGAAAAGATATACAAATTAAATTGAGAATTTTTATGACTGAGTTTATTCAACTAAAATACTTATCATAAACATATTGAATTGTGCAATTTTATTTGAAATCAAACAAAATATTTTAAAAGAATAATTATTTTATTTAGCATTTTTTTATACATTTATTTTCTTATTTATTTATTATCTGTTTAGTAACCTAAATTGTAATTTTTGTTTGGTGTGTGCATATCCAATTAACATTGGAATGTAGTAACAGAGTTTCATTGCATTCAAATTTTAAATATTTATTTTATTTTCTTAGAAGTTAATTTGTTTTAAACAGGCTTCAAATAGTCCTAACCCTGCTCCAGGTCACACTATTCCTCTTACACATCCAATGATGATGCCTCCACCACCACCATATGCAGTATGTATATATAAATTTTTTTATTCATATTAATAAAATTTGAATATAGTAAATCTTGATGTGGATGATCCAACAAAGAAATTACCAATAATTCTAAGAGCAGATACTTTTTGTTGTTTTGATGTTTGTTTAATGGTTTCAAAATGAAAAGAGTAAAATAAAATAAAACTTTAATTTTTACATATCTGTGTTAACTATTTTAGAGAAATATTGGTACAGTGGTGTAGCGTAGTGGGGGCGACAGGGGTGGCAAAATTTCACAACAAATAATAATAATATCTTGTAAAAATTTGAACCATTTTATTTCATATTTTCATCGCACCTATGATTCGGACCGATTGAAATGAGCATGGCGAATAGTGTTACCATCCAGACAGTCCGGGAATCGACTTACCATCTGGGTGAACTATTAATTTTACCCGGGGATATCGTGTGCAACCTGTCGACCTTTTTTACTTTTCTTTTCTTTTCTTTTTTTTCTTTTTTGCTTGTACGATTCAACCATATTCACATACACCTCCAATATCCAATAGAGCTAAGTCATCTAGGTTACTTACATTACTCGTACCCAAGTCTCCCTAGTTGCTAACTGTAAATGATTTAGAACCAGCATGCACTACACATTATTCTTTGCATTGCAAAATGACATACGCATGTGTCAGGAACTTCTGTTCGAATAAACCTTATGTGCCATCCGGGTCAGCGATTTTAAAAAGGTGGCAATACTAGTACAGAATTTTTCATTACAATTATTCATTACTTATTCTGTGACGAAACTGAATTTTAGTCTTTTAAATTGAGATAACTAAATAAGGGAATGGTGAAATTTTCCTTTGCCCCGGGCGGCTGACACCCACGCTACGCCACTGTATTGGTAATTTAGAAGATTTCTTTAAGAAAAGGATATTATAAATATTTTATATAAGAAAACATATGAACATAAATTTTAAGAAAGTTTTCTCTGAACTAAAGTTAAATGGCATACATTTTACAATTAGACTGTATTTTAATTTTTTGTTCAGTCAGGTTATGTATGTTTTTATTTTTCTAGAAATTTTAGTGATTTTTGTCAATACATACCATTTATTTCAAAAATGAATGATTGAATTGTTTTGTATTAAAAAAGAAAAATTTTAGGACAATGTTAATAATTTAAATTAAGTTTTAAATAAATGTTTCTAAATAATGTTTATATTAATTACATCAGTATGAATTTTTTTAATAATAATATATAAACTGAAAATACAAGAAAGTAATTATCTAATTTCTCTCCTGCCTGTTAAGATTGGAGTACAATTAAAATGTGTGTTCTCTGTTGTGACACTTGTTTGTATTTATGTGTATGTGTATCTATCACCCTTTCTAGTAACCTTATGTAAATTTACAAACTAATAAATTTTTCTGTTTAAATGAAATATAATAAAAACTGTGTAAACCAATTATTAAAAAAAAATTATGTAAACCAAATAAAACACAAATTCTTTATTGTTGTTGTTTCATGAATTAGGCAAAATGCCTGTTCTAGCTTCAAATTTCTCTTTACAATGTGTATGTGGTCTTTCTCTGTCTATTACTTGAATGGTACTGAACTGCCCTCTGAGAATATTTTTTGTGCATTTTTTTCTCTATTCCAATTTGTTTCTAATAATTTTTCACTTATTGAAGTTACAGTAGAGCGTCGATCGACCAAAACGTCAGTTAACCGAAAGTGTTCCAGTCAGACTGTGTCGTGCTGAATCAAATGTTTTTGATACTAGATTAATTTCTAAAGTATAATTTTTTTGTTTTTATATTTTTAAGTATATTTATTTTGTTTGTATGAAATTAAAAAAATAATTTTTAACTATACAATAGCCATGATTATTATTATAAAAATTTTCATTAGACTTAACATTGACAAAAATTTGACACGAAGCGATACGCAACGGAGAAAAATTTAAACATAGGATATACGGTACTAATATACTATATTAATAATGTATTTTTTTGTACATAATTGGTTATATGAAAAATTGATTTTCCGAACAACCCCAGTTCCCAATTGATTTGGATAATCGATGCTCTACTGTATTTAATTTTCTTGTTTTTATTTTATAAAGTATTGTATATTCTTTTGTGTGTCTCACAAATTTTATTCTTGAAGATTGTTTACTTAAGTGTATCCTGCTCTAATGTGTTCCTTTTATCTCTGTCTAGTACTGTAGGTACTGCAATTGCTATATAAAATTTTATTCTTCTTTCTTGTTTTACTTTTTAATTTTTTTATTATTTTATCACATATATTTTCAGATCTCTATAACATATTTAATATATCTGTATTTAATCATTATCTCTGTCTTGTCTAATATAAATACATTTTTTGTCATAAGCTTAAATAACATTTTATTGTATAAAACATGAATTTCAATTATAAATTTATATTTACACATAATAGTAAATAATAAATAAATAAATTATTGTTTAAATTAAATTAAAAATTAAAGTTGATGAATATCAATTATAAAAATTTTATAAAATGTGACTAAACTATTTTTGCTAATAATTAAAGATAAAAAGATACAAACTGTAACCAAATACCAAAGGATTCAAACTTGGAAATTTAGTTTAATGTTCAGCAGTAAGTTGATTTAAACATATGGCAGTTGTTTTTACTGCCTTTAATAATTACTAAAAATAGTTTACATTTGGTTAGCAGGCCCTATGCTGTATTTAGAATATTTTTAGGAAACTACAATATTTCAAACTACTGTAATTCAAATTATAATTNATATACTCTTCTAACATCACAATCTGATGCACTGAAAAGCCCAGTGAAAAGACTGTGTAATGTGTGCTTGATAAAGATGAAATAGCAGATCCAATCAATTATAAAAATTTTATAAAATGTGACTAAACTATTTTTGCTAATAATTAAAGATAAAAAGATACAAACTGTAACCAAATACCAAAGGATTCAAACTTGGAAATTTAGTTTAATGTTCAGCAGTAAGTTGATTTAAACATATGGCAGTTGTTTTTACTGCCTTTAATAATTACTAAAAATAGTTTACATTTGGTTAGCAGGCCCTATGCTGTATTTAGAATATTTTTAGGAAACTACAATATTTCAAACTACTGTAATTCAAATTATAATTATTTTAAAATTAACATATATTTAAGAACAATTAAACCAATCATCTGTAAAATGTAAACTGTAAAAGCTGCAGATGTAGCCTTGAATAGGATATACAGTTTGAATCCTGTATATAATGACTGATATATTAACAATTAATTTTCAGTTCTTTTTTAATGTGTTTCTTTCTTTATTCTATACTTAGATTAAGAAGAGTGAGAAAATTATTTAATAAAATATATAATAATTCAAAAAAGGAAAAGTTTGTTGTTATTAAATATTTATTTTAAACATATATAATTTTTTAAATAAAGATATATTTTTTAGATGACACCACCAACAATGCCTCCTGGATTTGGATCTCCAGGTAGGCCTCCTCCAGGACCTGATACAACTAGACCACCTCCAATGATGTTACCACCTGCTCCCTGTATGCCACCAGCAATGGGAATGCCTCCTCATTTTGGTCCAGGTCCAGTTCCACCAGCATTCCCAATGCCTCCATTTGGAGGAATTCCTCCTCATTGTGGAACAATGGTTCAACCAGGTATTGCAACTATTAATAGATCTTTGATTAACAATAGATATTTTTTATGTCAAATAAAAAAATTTACTTTTAAGAATAGATTTGGATATTTAATGCTAATTACACAAGTCAAGAATCTTTAAACACCAGTAACATAATTTTAATGGAAACATTGAACAAACAATTTTGCCTTATCCAGGTTTTTAACAAAACAAATTCCAAAATGGAATGCTTAGAACAAACATATTTAAAAAAATTATTTTAAATATTAATTTAAAATAATTTTTATAAAATATAAAATTTTAAATTAGGCAGGTCTCTCAAATGAAGCATATTTGGAACCTGTAAGCCTTAGAAATATATAAGGCCAGCCTGACCAGCAAATGTATTAACTTTGAAAACGTAAATGTATTGTATGTGTGCAGATACATTTATGAAAAATCCGGGCAATGTTAATGTATATAAATTCATTTAAGATATTCAGTACATCTTAAAAAATGCTTATAAATGTGATAGTTATACATTTTATGTTTTTATATTGTCTATTGTTTAAATTTTTATATACGTTATGTGTTCTAAATTTTAAAAAAAAATTTTTAAATATGTTTGTTCTAAGTATTCCATTTTGGAATTTGTTTTGTTAAAAATCTGAAGCAGGCCTTGGATAAGGCTGAAAACATTCATTTGATGTTTTCATTAAAATTATGTTACTGGAGTTTAAAGGGTGTTGATTTGTGTGATTAGCTCCAGTAATTCGAGAAGAAGATAGTTTTAATGCTAGTTTGTTATGAATCTGAATTTATGAAATCTAAATTTTCTTCATTGTTTAATCTATTTGAATTATTATTGAATGAAAATAATTTGAAAATTATGTGAAATAATGCTGGTTTATATATACAGGGTTCCTATGCACCTGAAAAATCAGGGATTTTTGTTAGGGTTTGGAAAAAGTCATGGAATTTGTTTCCTTAACTGCTTTGTTGATTTCTTTTCTTACAATATGGTTGACTAAGCCGTCTGCAGGCGACAAGAAGTAATGCAATGCAATGAAACTTATGAAAATGGGTGCAGAATATTTTAGGACCCAAAATTTCTCTTAAACATACAAAATTTTCCCAAAGATTATTGCGCACAAAATAAAACCATAATTTATGAAACAATTAATAATTAATATTACATAGTTAGGAAAATTCAAATTAAATCATACATATGATTAAATAAGCTTACCATTCAATTTGTCATATAACACTAAATTCATAAGTTAATATTAAAATGTTTAAGATTAAAAGAACGTTTTAATTTAAGCACAAGTCATTGTCATCATAGGATAGCATATACAATTATACAGATACTGTAAATTTGATGTAATATGTTGATCAATAGAAATGAAATTGAAATCAGTGCCATGAATGATTGTTTTTATTTTTAGCACAGACAGAAATTAATGGACTTTTTGACATCCAAAAATGCAAAATTAATAAAAATTTATTTATGATGATGATTTCAGAAGGAATTTTTATAAAATTTCAATTAAGGATGAACAAGTAATGAACACCAAAAAATACTTTAAAAAGGAAAACTTCAGATTTGGCAATATAATTTTTATATTATTGAAATTATTTTTGTACCATGGCCATTTTGTCTAACTTCTAAAACACACTTTTACATTATTTAAGTTAAATTATTTTAACTAAAGTTAATAGGAAAAATTACATACATTTTCAATTTAAATAATTTTATTAAAACATTATACTTTTTTAAAATTACTTAAATTTTAAAACAATACAAGCTGGGTCTGTGCCCTGGTAATTAATACTTGTTTCTTTATATGCTTAGCCCATAAATGGCTGAGTGGATAAAACACTAGAAGTTTGTTGCAGGTTTGCATCTCATCAACAGGCTGGCCACATGGAGTTTTCCAATAGGGTCAGCTTCCTGTAGAAAATCCCTGGGAGGCATCCCTCCTTTGCAGATTGTACTGTACAAGTGTTGAATTGCCTTTTCCCATCAATCTATCCCTTCTGAAATACTTAACTACTTTCCTTATCTGATATTATTGAAACTATTATCTGAAAACACTGAAAATTTTCATGCAGGGTGTAGTGCTGATCAGTAGAAATTTTCATATTCAGATATTTTGAGTTAATTTTGGATAACAGAATTCTCAACAATGTGTGATCCACATATCTCTGTGGGTCTGCAAATATGTTGACAGGATTCCTTAAGTTTATAGAAGAAAAAGAAGCATATTATAGTGAAACCACTGAAAGGACCATATCAAAGTGGTCATATTAGCAGGTTTCACTGTATGTTGTGCATATTAAAAAGTTTTTTGTAATATTTACCTGTATTAAAACACACATTAAGTTTAAATTTAAAAACATTATTATAAGAAACACTTGTAAATATTTTATATATATTGGGAGATGCTGTTGAGCAGTCATCACTACTGGTAACATTTTGTGTGAGATATTGCTATTACTATTGTATTGTAAATTATAAATTTTTTTTTGATTTGATGTAATTTTGTCATGGTTTGTTGTCCTTATGTGTTGTTTTGTGTTACTACAAGCTTTATCTTCTTGGATATGATTCCAAATACTTTCCCAGAAGGGTTTAAACAGAGCTGAGATGATCAGAAAGGAATTAAGCATCATCATTCACCAAGCAACCCAAGAGCTAAATATCCAAAGCTGGAACATCATTTTAAGAGACAATCTTCTTCAGACATTGATAAAGAGGGAATGTTATCCTTACAACAGTATTTGGAATCAACATTAGGCAGAGTTGTGCTGCAGTTAAACTGTATCAAAGATAAGCTTGCTAATTTAGAATTGGCTAACCAGTCAACTTTGTCCTTGGTAAGAAAACTGGAAAGTGATCTTTTTAAAGTGTGTTTGCATTTAGATAAGTTGGAATAGCATGAACAATTTCCTTTGGATAACATCAGTGAGTTGCATTCTTTTTCCTATTATAGACAGGTCAATGCTTCCAAAAGAACAATTTGATGTGGTTTAACCATAGTATTCCACATGAATTGGATATCCAAGAACATATAGTTAACCTATTGTTTAACGAATTGGATGCAGTTGATCTATCAGAGCAAAATGTAGTTGGTATTTCCTGTTTTCTGGGCAGAACTCAAAATTTTACTGTATACAGTTGACATCTTGGAAATATTGAAATTATTGCAAAAATTTAGAATGAAAACTCAACAGGTGGGTAGGGAAAGATTGGTGAAGTTTAAGTTGGTGCTGGATCTATCATTTAATTCATGTGTATGTTGCAAAAATTTGGTTACCTATTATTCGTGAGGCTGGTCGCCATGTTATTTGCATGATGATGTTTACATGACAAGAGATTTACTTATTCTATTTTGGGACATTGATTAATAGAAGTTCCTGCTTTTTTTTATTTTGAATTTTCCTTTTCATATGAGAAAAGGCTCTGAGTCTCCCAATTTATTCACATCCGGTTCATTCTACTGGTAGTTCAGATTGTCATTTGGACTCTGGTATTTTGGAATTGTTGTGGGTTTAGAACTAAGCATTTATTGTTGGGTTATATGACTAATAGATCAGATTTAATTTGTTTGGTCCTTGTTGAGACTTGGATGGTTTTGATGGATGGAAATTTCTTTGGTAAGTCTCTACCAGACAAGTGGAAGTATTATTATGGTTCTAGTTGAAAAGCCATTGGGACTGGATAGGCCCCATGGTAGAATTTTGTTCTTTTTTGATGGGGCTAGAGGGCATTTTGAGTTACTGGAATCTTGCCTTAATTTAATGGTGCTTGGCTTAACACATTTCTTAGCATCTGATCCTAACAGAATCTTGGTGCTTGTAATATATGTTAGTTCATTAAGGCAGCATTATGCCCCAATTTGTTTTCTTCTATTTTGACTTCTTGGTCTTTGCATTATGATGGAGTTGTAATAATGGGTGATTTTAATGGCCATATTGGTGAAGAATTTGATTCATATTTGAACATAGCTTCACCCAACATTTTTGATGTTAGACGGTCAAGGGACTTAAAGGTTGATATGGCCAGTAGACAGTTTTTGCGATGATTGATTGAACATGATTTTATTCTTCTTAATTGTCAAACTACAGGAGATTATCCTGGTGAACTAACTACTTTTTTGTCAAAAGTAGGCAGTTCTGTTATAAATTTTATGGCCATTTCTCAAAATTTGGCTCTCATGGTTGAATCACTTCCATTTTCTGACCATTTCCAGTGGAATTACATTTATCTACTGGTAGCAGATTTCCCTTGGTTAATTAAGACCCATTTTGTTTGAAGTGTTTCAAAAGTTGAATTGTTTGAAGATGCAGTAAAGCAGTATAAAAATTTTGATTTTGAGCTTGATGATGATTTTTACAACTTAATTAATTATATCTGATTTATGTTCTATAGCAAGGAGGCTAGATGTGTTAATTGAAGGCACTGAACTTCATAGGAGGATTTTGTCCCCTTGGTTTGATGAGTATGTTATAAACTGAAGAGGACAAGGAACAATGCCCTTGGTCAATTTTGCAAATCTAACAATTGGGTTGACTTAATTTCTTTTTTTAAAATTGAAGAATAGAATATTATTCATTTGTTAGGGCAAAAAAGAGAGAGTATTTTTGTAATTTTGCCTTACAAATGGCAAAGGTTAGTTGATCAATTTCATGGGATTAAAAGCATATCAGACCACTAGATCTCTTTGGCTGACTAGTCTAATTATTATCAACAGTTATTTAGTTTAAATGCACTGAATTTATCTCTAATTCCATCTTTGCTGGTGGCTTCTTTAATTAATGGTTGATCCCTTTTTGGATCTTCCTATCTCAGTTTCAGAGGTGAACATTGCAATTCCAAAGATGTGAGTACATTCTGCTCCAGGGATAGATAATGTTTCATCATCTTTAATTTCTTATTCTAGGAGTACATTAATCCCTCATGTGGTCAAACTATTTAATCAATTTTATGATTCTGTTAAAGTTCTGAGGTCATGGTTAGAAGTAAAAATTAAAGTTATTCATAAAAAAGGTCTAATTGATGAGCCTGCTAACTTTCAGCCAATATTGTTGCTACCTGTAGTATGGAAAATCTTTACATCTATTTTGGCAAAAAGATTGGGTATACGGTTTAGAGAGAGATATCTTATTCAACCAGTGCAATTTGCTTTCCAACCTTGGAAGAGCACTTTGTGCAATATTTTAATCCATTACTACTGGGTCCTTCATCATGCTATGTTCTACTTTCTAGAAAATAGAACATAGCCTGATGAAGGACCCAGTGGGAGCAAAACATTAGCGTAAGCAATTGAACATATTTCACATCGGTTATAGGTTTTTAGAAAGATTATTTGTATTGTTCCGGTGTGCGTCAATTAATTATTTAGTTATCAATTAAACTACTTGACATGTACTGTACAAAGTGTGCTCTTGGTATTTAGTATGACTACATACCACTCAATTTTGGTATTTAAAATTTTTATTTTATTTATATATTTGTTAATATTTTGTGAGACATGGGCCACGGGTTGTCCATCCCAACTGAACAATTTTTTTAATCATGGAAATCAAGAACTTTATAATTTTATACAAAGTTTTATTTTAACATAAGAATTTCAATTGTATGTGTTTTATCACTCTAATATGTCAAATGAATTTTTCTGGCTAAGGCTTATACACAGAGTAAAACAGAGATAGAATTTTCTTTGGCAATTTTTTAAAAGTCACATGATGAATAAATAGCCAATAGTAGTCAGAATTATTTTATCTGCATACAATTGCTACAATCAAGATGTGTGAATAAGTATTCAGACTAAATTCTTATAAAAGAATTTAGTATTTTTCTATTGATAGTTTCATTTTTCATCTATACTAATATTATAAAGAGGTAATGTTTGTATGTATGTAAGTAAGTTTGTATGCAGCAGGTAATCTCCAAAACTACTCATCCGATTTCAAAAACTCTTTCACCAATATTTAGAATGGAACTTCAGGGTGGACATAGGCTGTATATTATTCCGTTAAACATTCATATAAATGAAAAGATATAATCTAGGTTAAGGCTTTCATGTTCAACAGATGGCGCTACGAGTACGACACCCTAAGTTTGCTTTTCTGTGAAAATGAACTAAAGCAGATCATCTTCTATCTATTTATATAAATAAAAATGTAATATTCGTTTGTTCCTACCAATTCCTTTGAAATTTTGACATAACACTGCATTTGAATACGCACGTGTTTTTATATAATATACATGTCAAAATTCAACCCCACTGAAGGGAGATGGTTAAGATTAAGGCTTACGGTAAAGAACTCTGCTTCTATTTATACTATTTTAGATGCAGGTTTTTGCGTTTTTGATTGCATTTTAATAGGGTACATCAACAGAATGTACACTAACAAGAAATTTTTTGAAAAATCCCCCCACGGGGAAGTGTTATAAATTTATAATAGATACATTTTGAGCCACAACAACGCGTGGCGAGGTCTGCTAGTCATAAATAAAACAATGCATTAATTTTCATATTTTTATTTCATTATATTTAAGTGAAATGATTAAAAATACTTGTTTAATTTTTTTCATATAAAAAAAATTTATTTTTCTTGTCAAGTAGAAAACATTACAATGAGTTATCTATTTCAAAATAACAAATTGGATTGTGTAATAATATCACATATATAATATTTTACTTTTTCGTTCCTCTGTTCCTGTAAGCCATACAAAAATTTGCTTTTTATCATAAATCTGGCGTAGAAATGCAATGAAAACACTGTCAGATGGTGAAAGAAAGTTTATTTTTATCATTTTTTTTTATAAATAATACATTGTTAAATATATTCATAATATTTCTAGGTATGTCTCCTGCTGTCATATCAGCACCACCAACTACAGCAACTCCACCTGGAACAACACCTATTCCAACTAGTGCAGGAATGGCAAATAATTCTCAACCTCTTGCTCCTCCTGGAGAATCACCTATTGAAACAACTCTTCCTACTCAAACAGTAAGTTTTTTTTTAATTATAAAATTTAAATCTTTATTTTATATAATAAAAATAATTTTCTATAATTTTTGTAGTTTTTATATATCTTCAAATACAGTAAGACCTCGCTTAACACAGGGGATGCATTCCTAGACGACAAAGTTCTAAGTGAAACGGCATTAAATAAAGTAATTTTAACATACAGTAAATAGGGATAGGGGAACACGCGACCAAAAATAAATGAATTTTACTATAATTTTAAGTTATTTTTATAATAATTTGCATAATAATGTATGTTAACATATGCACACAGAAATGTAAAGTTCATTTTTTTGTAAGAAAGTCCTGGCTTTTCTGAAATTCTTGTTTTTTGCAATAAAGTCATGTAGTTTCATTCGTAACTTTTTTCTTTCCTTAAGCAAAAATCGGTAGCAGAAGATCACATCCAAAATGCCTTGTTTTGCTTTTGCACTTCTTTCAAAATCTAGATCATTTGCTACAATTTGATCAATGATTTTGGTTATCATTGCCAAACTTTTACTAAGGAAATCTGTAGAGAAATTCTTTGGGTTCTTCATTTTCAGAATCACTATTTTCCAGTTCTACATGAATTCCTTGTTCTGCCACTTCTTGAAGATTGTCATTGTAAGACTCACCAGAAACCTGCAGTAACTCCTCAATATCCTGTTTGTCTACATCTCCTAATCCTGGTGTACTGATTAGATTGACAATTTGGTCAACCTAACAATACAGCAATATGCTGTTCTCATTGAAAATTCTTGGATACCTTTAGCCATAACTTCTTCCACACTCTGTTCATGCATTTATCAGTTAATTCTTGCCAAGCAAAGTCAATATTGCCTATGGCATTCATAATGTTATATTTTTTTCAAAATTGCACAAAACAAACATAGTGTGAGCCACTGTGGAGGTCGGGAAGTCCGCTCCTTCCGGCCACAGGTCGGTGACCTACTTTCTTGTCAAGGATGGCGTTTCATTCAGTTACACGTTACGCGAGTGGAGGTGAGTCAGAGGGGCCGACGATAAGACGTTGGCAAAGTCGAGTAACGACGCCATTTAAAAACAAAACAAGAGTTTATTAAACTAACTAACTAAATAAAATTTACACAAAACTCCTTCGACTTTGCGGATGAGAGAGAGAGTTCGCAATAATATATCATACCTCTGAGATAATATTGGATGGATGCTTCTGACTTAGAGGTTTCGAAAAGCAGTGCTTGGTGTGGCACAAGGTCTTTCAATTAAGGGCGTACAGTAGGTATGAGGGGAAGATACGGCCCGTCTTCGTTGTTGTCTGTTCGATTGGCGACTCCCCCAAGAGGGGAAGGGGGATGGCTTTTATACATTTTGTGGTGGGAAAATTCGTCAGATGACCAATTGTTTTAGCAGGTGTGGGGTTAAAGTTGGTGTTTTAATGATAACAATATGACGAATTTCACCGATAATTGTAAACTATACACGGTTTGATCATGAGAATGTTTATAGTTAAATAGAAAGAGTTATAAATTTCTCATACACTTTATATTACAGTTCTGTAGGGTCAAATTCCTTTGGTTAAAGGAATTTTTTTATTTAAATTTATTAAAAATTTAAAGGATTACTTTCTTTTATGAAATACAAATTATTTAATAATTTTGATTTTTGATGCAAATTATTTATAAATCACACTTATTTAAGATTTTTATTAAATTTGCAATTTGTTTTAGTCAGTTATTTGCATTTTTTCATATTTTCTGACATTTTAATAATTTCACTATCCTCAATATTTAATTTAAATGATTGAGACACTATAAATTACATCAATATTTGTTTTAAGTTTTCATTAAATTATTCAATTTTTTGTTATTACTACAAGAATTGATTAAAAAGATAGAAATATGTCCTTTTTGTAAATTACTATTTAAAACTTTGTATATGTTAATAATGAAATTGAATCTCTGATTCTTTTTAAACAAAATATTAAAAGAAATAATCCTTTTGCTTTTAATAAATATTAAGTAATAATTTTGAATTTTTGTAATAAATTTCAATTTATCAATTCACATTGTTGGCATTAAAATATGTATGTAATGTTAGAAATATAAGGTGTGACAATTTAATTCCAGGACTGGTCATGTAGCGCTGCAGTGTCAGCATGCAGAAACTTGTCTAAGCTTATCATAATAGTTCAACCATCTGGCTACTTGTCTGCAAAGATTTGTTCATGTCTGGTAACTTGTTTTTTTTCTGTACTCCATTCACATATTGCTGTGAGAAAGTGTTGTCACGTTTTTGTCATGGAACAAAAAGCGAACATTAAGTTTTGTTACAAGTTGGCTAAAAGTGCAACAGAGACGTATGTCTTCATCAAGCAAGTTTATGGGAATGATTCCCTATCCCGCTCTCATGTTTTTGAGTGGTTTGCGCGTTTCAGGGATGATCAGGAAGACCTTGAGGACGATGCTTGCCCTGGACGACCTCAATCAGTTCCAACACCAGAAAACATCGAAAAAATCAGAGACTTGCTGCAATATGATCGTCAAATGTCTATTCGGATGATAGCAGAGACAACTGGTATCAATCTGGAGACAATTTGTCGGGTTACGCCTCAGTTTGCAGCAAGAAGATGCTGGGTACTGCTGCACGACAATGCCCACCTGCACACTGCGACTGTTGTCAAGGAGTTTTTGGCCAAACGTGGCATTGTGGAGTTGAACCACCCTCCATACTCACCAGATTTGTTGCCTTGTGACTATTTTTTGTTTCCGAAAATCAAAATCACTTTGAAAGGATGAAGATTCAACGACCTGGAGGACATACAGCGTAATGTGACCAAGGAATTGAGAGCTGTCAACAGAAGTGACTTTTCTGAGTGTTTCAAGAACTTGTACAAGCGTTGTGAGAAGTGCATTGCCCTCCAGGGGGATTACTTTGAAACATATTAAAAGGGTTTTTCATTATATATTCTATGTGTCTTTTTATTACCCCAGTCCTGGAATTTAATTGTCACACCTTGTATTATATCATTTTAACTAAAATGTTAGAAGGAAAATGGAAATCTTTATTTAGCAACTATACGTTATTTTTTATATATGTGTGTGAGATTTTGAACACTCCCCTCCCTTTATTAATTGAAAATTTATGTTAAATCTATAATTTTTTGAAATAATATTTCTGATTTTAATAGAAAATTTTTAAGTTAAAAACAAAGGAAACTGGTAAAATTCACTTCCTTCTCAACGGAAGTTCTACATCCTTTTGTTTTCCCTTCTCCACAAATTTTGAGTCACAACAGTCCATATACCCCTCTGTAAACCCCCACTCTTCCGAAACACATGGGAGGAATACAATTTTTCCATTGGAGAAAAACATCAAAAAAGGGGATTCTTTAGTATTGTTTGGGGAGTATGCCACAAAATTCCATAAGAGAAGGATGTATTCCATGTTGTCTCCCCACGGCCAACACCCATAACCAACTCTTGAAGTTCATACAAAGTTTGTTATAAGTTCCTAAGTAGAAGAAAATGTTTAATGAAGTGCTGCCTAAGAATTAAAATGGAACAAGAAAGAATACAGAAGACTATATATATATAGTGAGATAATATGATTTTTAAATTGAAATGTGATCTCTCTCTCCATGATATCATAATTATATATTGAAAGTCAAATTTGTATATTTTCTTTGTTTTATTAAATATTCAANTGAAACGTATTCTAATCTAAATTTATGTAAGAGTTATTTTGACTCTTTAATTTATATTTGTGTATTAGAAGCACATGAATGTTCATATATTTTGTATATTTGTATTGTATCATCAAAAAGTTCATTTGTCACAAAGAATGTTATGTTATCACTTCTTTCCAATGTAATGGATACAAGTCCAATAAAATAAATAGAACAGAACATGCAACAAAATCTTTTAAAAATTAGTTAATTAATTAATTGAGAATTAATATTGGTATTCATAATTATATTCTGCATGTAATGAACAAAATATAATTTTGTCTCAGTAATATGCACAGTATTTAATAATTAGAAAAATCTATAAGAATTTATTGAAAGAAAGAAATATACAGTGGAACCTGGTTAACTCAAACTGAGATAACTTGAAGTCACATTTTACTCAGTCATTTTCTTTCCTCACTTGTCTAGCATAGGCATAGGGATTTACATGTTAAATATAAATCCCTATGCTAAGTTAACTAAAATGGGGTTCTGATACAGTATTTTCATAAAATCCTCAGAATTTGAATTTAAATATAATGGTTAATGTTCATCTATTAAATATTATTTTATATTTGTTTAAAAAAAACTGCACCATAGATATAATACATATATATACATTATTTAAGTTAAATTATTTTAACTAAAGTTAATAGGAAAAATTACATACATTTTCAATTTAAATAATTTTATTAAAACATTATACTTTTTTAAAATTACTTAAATTTTAAAACAATACAAGCTGGGTCTGTGCCCTGGTAATTAATACTTGTTTCTTTATATGCTTAGCCCATAAATGGCTGAGTGGATAAAACACTAGAAGTTTGTTGCAGGTTTGCATCTCATCAACAGGCTGGCCACATGGAGTTTTCCAATAGGGTCAGCTTCCTGTAGAAAATCCCTGGGAGGCATCCCTCCTTTGCAGATTGTACTGTACAAGTGTTGAATTGCCTTTTCCCATCAATCTATCCCTTCTNTGATTACTAATGTTATAATGATCTAAACATTTTAAAATGTCTATAAATAATAATTAAAAATTTGCTAAGTAGAACTAACTATATACCATATTTACTCAAATGTAAGCTGCACTTTTTTCAGTTTCTCTGAAAATAGTGTATGTCTTAGTTTTGATGTTATAAGTCATAATGATGGCAACCTCTAGTATCATATTTCTCTGTCACTAGAAGTCACAATTCCATTGTGTGATTTTAATAATTTTATTACACCAATGTTTGTGTTAGCAAATATTTAGGTGGTCAGATTATCTCAGTCATCTTAGTATATTATCTGATGCTTTATATGGCTCTGAGGGTGATTGCATGTGAGAAGATAAGAGCATCAAATTGAGTGTTGATTTAGAAGAACCTAACACAGAAAACAAAAATGTTTCTGACTTTAATACCATGAAAGATAGACTTACTAAAGTGATATGACTTACTTTACTGTGCAATAAACACAAGACTTACTAAAGTGATATGACTTACTTTACTGTGCAATAAACACTAAACAAATTTATGTCAACACAGTTAGTTGTTGTTAAATTTGTCTCAAGTTGTCTATTTTTTTCAAAAACAAAGAAGAAGAAAATCTGTGGATGAGTATGTAGAAATTGAGTTGTCTTTTATTTGTGTAAATGCAGGTTTATATCAAATACAAATAAATATATTCCACAAAATTTTTAAAGTTTAATCTGAATCATTTCTTGAATGTCATAATTTGTAATTTTAAGATCCATGATAAAAAATTAAATCACAATATCTCATCTTTCAGACAAATGAATCAAGCTGAAAGTTGATAAGTGTATATTTGTACAGTAAACTTATATATTCAAAAATTGTGTACTTTATAATTGCTTATCTGTATTCAATATATAATAACTGTTTGGACCCCTGTAAATCAAAATTTGCTTATTCTCAGTTGCAATTGAGGCATTGTGGATCATATTTTAGCATTCATTTCTAAAAAAGACAGAGAAAACTATAATTAAATAATTGATTTTCCTTAATGACTGGTACAATAAAGTTTCAGTTGTGTGACATTCTGTTTTTTTAAAAGTAATTGTAAATGTGCTATTTATAGCATTGTGTTCTACAAGCATGTGTTCTATTTTGTTCATTTCTGCTTTTACTCTGCATTTCAATGTGTTATATATTTTCAAAGCATAATTTCATTTTTTTTGTTTTGTTTTTTTTTTTCATTACGTATCCTATGAAAGTTTATTGGCATCATTTATATAATGACTATTTTACTACTTGCATTTCTTTATATAATTTTATTTATTGTTTGAATAAGACAAATTAAAACAAAGAAATTGATTTTTTCAATTTGTAATAAACTATATTTCATATTTATATTATACTAGCTGAAAGGCCCAATGCAGGCATTGGGCCTTTCAAGCATTGCATTTATATTTTGTAAGCTTATATTTTTCAAGCTATATATTTCAAGCTTATATTTTGTATGCCCCAATACCTGCATTGGGGCATACAAAATATAAGCCCCAATCCACATGCGCACACGCACACACACAGTAGGACCCGTATTGCATGTTCAGTAGGACCATTCCATGACAAAAATGAATTACTATTACAAATAAAAATAATAATACAGTCAACCCCCCTATAAGACAGTAGATACGTTCCATTCTTTAGGAATCCAATTTCTTACGAGTCCTTCCAATCACAGCCCGACATGTGTCAAGTTTACAGACTACGGCTGTTTGAAAGGTTTTCTTCCATAAAATTAATCGATTCTAGACTAATCCAACTCAACATTTCCAAAATACGTATATTTTTTTTGGAAATAATCCGTATAAACTACGCTATAAACAAAAAATTGTAGGATTACTTACCGAGTGTGCACCATTCGACATCGCTGTTGCTCAAGCTTGTTTTC